AATCCTGAACCCTAAACCCCAAATCCTGAACCCCAAATCCCAAATCCCAAATCCTAAACCCCAAATCCCAAACCCAAACCCCAAACCCCAAATCCCAAATCCCAAACCCAAACCCCAAATCCCAAACCCTGAACCCCAAATCCCAAACCCTGAACCCCAAACCCAAAACCCGAACCCCAAATCCCAAACCCCAAAACCTGAACCCCAAATCCCAAATCCTGAACCCCAAATCCCAAACCCAAACCCCAAATCCCAAACCCCAAATCCCAAACCCAAACCCCAAATCCCAAACCCCAAATCCCAAATCCCAAACCCCAAACCCCAAATCCCAAATCCCAAACCCTAAACCCTCATCCTAAACCCTGAATCCCAATCCTATACCCAAATCCTAAATCCAAAATCCTAAATCCTCATCCTAAATCCTAAATCCTAAATCCTAAATCCTGAGCCTGGTCTCAAATCCGAAATCCTGAGTCTGATCCTAAATCCTGATCCTAAACCCTAAATCCTGATCCTAAATCCTGATCCTAAATCCTAAATCCTGATCCTAAATCCTGATCCTAAATCCTAAATCCTGATCCTAAATCCTGATCCTAAATCCTGAGCCTGATCCGAAATCCTGAGCCTGATCCTAAATCCTGATCCTAAATCCTGATCCTAAATCCTCATCCTGAATCCTGATCCTAAACCCTAAATCCTGATCCTAAATCCTGATCCTAAACCCTGATCCGAAATCCTCATCCTGAATCCTGATCCTAAATCCTGATCCTAAATCCTGAATCCTCATCCTAAACCCTGATCCGAAATCCTCAGCCGAAATCCTGATCCTAAATCAGAATTTTTTCCCAGGAAAATCGGGAATTTTTCTGGGGATTTTTCTGGGAAATTGGGAAGTTTTTGGGAACTTTTCTGGGGATTTTTCCGGGACTTTTTCCAGAAATTTTTCTGGGGATATTTCTGGGGATTTTTCTGGGAAATCAGGAATTTTTTGGGAATTTTTCTGGGGATTTTTCTGAGAAAATTGGGAATTTTTCCAGGATTTTTCCCTGGGAAAATGGGGAATTTTTCTGGGATTTTTTCTGGGGATTTTTCTGGGAAATCAGGACTTTTTCCAGGAATTTTTCTGTGGATTTTTCTGGGAAATCGGGAATTTTTCCCTGACTTTTTCCAGGATTTTTTTTGGGAATTTTTCTGGGATTTTTTCTGGGAAATTCGGGAATTTTCCCGGGAATTTTTCCAGGATTTTTTCTGGGATTTTTTCTGGGGACTTTTCTGGGAAATCAGGACTTTTTCCAGGAATTTTTCTGTGGATTTTTCTGGGAAATCGGGAATTTTTCCGTGACTTTTTCCAGGACTTTTTTCGGGAATTTTTCTGGGATTTTTTCTGGGAAATTCGGGAATTTTCCCGGGAATTTTTCCGGGAAAATAGGGAATTTTCCGGGAATTTTTCTGGTGATTTTTCTGGGAATTTTTCCGGGAAATTGGGAAATTTTTTCAGGATTTTTTTCTGGGACTTTTTCTGGGGATTTTTCCAGGAAATCGGGGATTTTCCGGGACTGTTTCCGGGACTTTTTCTAGGAATTTTTCGGGGGATTTTTCCAGGTATTTTTCTGGGAATTTTTCTGGGGATTTTTCCAGGTATTTTTCCAGGACTTTTTCTGGGGATTTTTCCCGGTATTTTTCCGGGACTTTTTCTGGGAATTTTTTTGGGGATTTTTCCAGGTATTTTTCCGGGACTTTTTTTGGGGATTTTTCCAGGTATTTTCCCGGGACTTTTTCTGGGGATTTTCCTGGGGATTTTCCCGGGGACTTTTTCTGGGACTTTTTCTGGGGATTTTTCCGGTATTTTTCCCGGTATTTTCCCGGGACTTTTTCTGGGTATTTTCCGGGACTTTTTCTGGGGATTTTCCCGGGACTTTTTCTGGGGATTTTCCTGGGGATTTTTCCCGGTATTTTCCCGGTACTTTTTCCTGGTATTTTCCCGGGACTTTTTCTGGGAATTTTTTGGGGGATTTTTCCCGGTATTTTTCCGGGACTTTTTCCAGGTATTTTTCCAGGACTTTTTCTGGGGATTTTTCCCGGTATTTTTCCGGGACTTTTTCCAGGTATTTTTCCAGGACTTTTTCTGGGGATTTTTCCCGGTATTTTTCCGGGACTTTTTCTGGGTATTTTCCGGGACTTTTTCTGGGGATTTTCCTGGGGATTTTTCCCGGTATTTTTCCGGGACTTTTTCTGGGGATTTTCCTGGGCAACCGGGCTTTTCCCGGGTGTTTTCCGTGTTTTTCTGGCATTCCTTGACCGGCGCAGTTACCCCTCGTACCTGCCCATCCTGCAGCGCGCCATCGAGCTCTGGTACCACGACCCCGCCTGCACCACGCCCGTGCTCAAACTCATGGCTGAGCTGGTCCACAACAGGTAAAAAACTCCCAAAAAACTCCCAAAAAATTCCCAAAATTCCCCAGATTCCGACCCTTGCGGCGGAGTGCAGAATTTCTGGGGGGTTGTTGCCTCAAAATTCTCATTTTCTCCCCAAAAAAATCCTCATTTCCGCCCCAAAACCCTCATTTTTTCCCACATTTTTCCTCCCAAATCCTCATTTCATTCCCTATTTTCCATCCCAAATCCCATTTTTCCTCCTAAATCTCATTTACAACAGGTAAGAATTCCCCAAATTCCGGGATTCCCTGGAATTCTGCACCTTGGAGTGATTATTGCAGATTTTCTGTGGGGTTGTTGCATCAAATTCCCGATTTTCTCCCCGAAAATCCCAATTTTTCCCTGCCAAATCCCAATTTTTCCCAATTCTTTCCCCATTTTCCTTCCCAAATCCCATTTTTTCACCTAAATCTCATTTACAACAGGTAGAAATTCCCAAAATTCCGGGATTCCCTGGAATTCTGCACCTTGGGGTGGTTATTGCAGATTTTCTGTGGGGTTGTTGCATCAAATTCCCGATTTTCTCCCCGAAAATCCCAATTTTCCAAATGAACATTCCCTGGAATTCCTTCCCCAGGGGAACATTCCCAGATCTCCAGGAATTCCCTTCTCCAGAGGAACATTCCCAGAATTCCTTCTCCAGATGAACATTCCCAGTTCTCCTGGAATTCCCAGCCCCAGGGGAACATTCCCGGAATTCCCTTTTCATGGGGAACATTCCCTGGAATTCCCAGCCCCAGGGGAACATTCCCAGAATTCCCTTCTCCAGTTGAACATTCCCGGAATTCCCGTTTTCCAGTTGAACATTCCCAGAATTCCCAGCCCCAGGGGAACATTCCCAGAATTCCCTTTTCCAGTTGAACATTCCCAGAATTCCCTTCTCCAGTTGAACATTCCCGGAATTCCCGTTTTCCAGTTGAACATTCCCGGAATTCCCTGCTCCAGATGAACGTTCCCAGAATTCCCGTTTTCCAGGGGAACATTCCCGGAATTCCCGTTTTCCAGGGGAACATTCCCGGAATTCCCTTCTCCAGTTGAACATTCCCGGAATTCCC